TGAGGAATGTCAAAGCAGCACAGTTGTCTCTTCAGCCTTCCCTCAGCAGCAGCAGCGATCTGCCTGCTGCTGTGTTTCTAGCAGGGCAGAACAGAAATGAGTATTCCTGTGATTTGCTCTCTGTTCCCCAAATGGAGCAGCTCACTCCGCTGTCATGCACTTTCCAGAGCTTTGGAAGGGGAGAGCCTTCAGGGCAGCAGAGATCACAATCACTGAGCAGAGCTACCAGGACCAGCATTGTAGGATGAGTTCTCTTGGCAAAACAAACAGCAGAAGCCACATGGTTCTTCATTGACAATTAGGGTTGCCAGGTGTCTGGTATTGAACCAGACAGCCTGGTACTTGCACCTTCCGTCTGGTAAAAAAAAAATGCAGAAAATACCAGACATCTAAAATGTCTAGTATTTTCTGTTTTTCCTGAGAAAATCAACAGAAGGCCACTTGGGACATGCTGGGGCCCTTGTTTCTCCCCCTCCCCCAACAACTTTTCCTGCAGGGTGGGTTTTTTTTCTCAGCTGAACTCCCCCCCCGGTGGGTTTTTTTTGGGTGTGGTATTTTTTTGTGAAACCATCTGGCAATCCTAATTAGGGAGGGGAGAAGTCAAAAGTCTCTCCAGGGATGGAAGTTTTTTGTCCCCAAAACAGTGTGTGTGTGTGTGTGTGTGTGTGTGTTTTATTAAAGTTGCATTGTAGTGTAAATGCTCTCATTGTTTTCTTGTCATGCCAGTGTAGACAAGGCTCTAGAGCAGGGGTGGGGAACCTCAGGCCCAGGGGCTGGACCTGCTCCTGCTTGCCTGCATCTGGCCCGTAAGGTTTGGGACTCCTCCCACCATTGGAGAGCCTGTGCTGGCCCCCTTCCCCCCCCCCCCACTGTCTTCCCAGGGGGCAGGAGCACACAAAATCTACTAGCTTGGACTCCCTAGGCTCTGGTCTATGAGGGGAGTGTGGGGAGTGTCTTTCTCAGTCGAGGGCCACATTAGCAGGGCTCGCCAAGCGGCGGCAAGCCCCACTCGCCTTTTGTGCGGTTCTGCGTTCTTCGCATGCGCAGATCACTCTGCTCCGGCTCTGCCGGGTTGTAATCTACTCGCCACGGGCAAGTAGATTTCATTATTCGTCAAGCCCTGCACATTAGTGAGGGTTTGTTTTTGTTTTGCTTCTCACTTCTGTGCAGCCCTGACTGATTTTTTTTTTTTTTGTAGGTCAGTGGCCCCAGATCCAAAAAAGGGTTCCCACCCCTGCCCTACTATACTTAACATTAACAGGCTAAACTCTTGTCTAAGGTAATTCGCTTTAGTTAAGAATCTCTCAGTGTCTCTAACCAATTATGTTGGCTGGGCTCTTTCACAAATGCAAAAAACACAGTCCTGTTTGCTTTCCTCTGTGAAGGACAAAGAGGTGTCCTTTTGCCTCCTCCTTTTATCCCCAAAGTTTTTTTTTTTTTTTTGTCCCCAGAATCAGGATGACCTTCCTTGTGTAATTCCCTGGTGTACTAGCTCCATGTTGCCTTCCTGTGCAGTGCCTGTTTTACATATAAACTAAGGCAGACATCCTTTGTCTGGTAAAAACCTGCTTGCCACCCCGGCTTTGATTCAAGACTTGAAAACCAGATTTTCCAGTATATAGATATAACTCCTTAAATATCCGTACGCACATCTCTCAGGGATTATGAGGCTCAGTATGGGCTAAACTATTATAAGAGCTCTCACTTGATCGTGCCTGGATAAACATTATCAAAAGCAACGTGTGGGTGCATTGAGTGTGTGCAGCATTATGGTTACAGAGCAGCGAGCTCTATGCTAGTTGGCACTGAGGATTTCTTTGGGTTGCACTTGTCACAGAGCTACCCTTAATTCCCTTCACCTTGGGAGGTAAACTCTGGTGCAAGTGCAGCTGAGCCTTATCCCCCTTAAAAGGCCTGGTAACTGACACAGTTTTACTGCTTCCATAGTGCTGACCTACCCACAATCCTTCCACCACCATTCATCTTTCTTTGGTAGACTTTAGCATTTGGCTCTCTGTCTCTAGTGTGTAATTATTGTCCCCATTCCTCTAGCAGACGACCTTATGGACATCTTCTATTTAAAGAGACAATGCAAGCAAAAAAAGAAGAAATAGCTCTGAAAAAAAACACATTTTAATTGTGAAGAATCAGATTTGTTCTAGTTTGATGTTTCCTTGAAATAAAAGAGCTTTAGTGCATGTAACCTGGAGTTGGTAGTATTGGTGCTCCTGCTGGTATAATTGAAACATCAGATTTGGGAATAGTCACACTATTTTCATTTCTACTGCTCAGCAGAGAATCTGTTTGAAATGCCAGGTCCAGGGGGCCGACAGAATTCCCAGTCCCCAGGGTGAGCGAAACATCTGTGGGGGCGGTGTCTTGAGTGGAAAGAACAGGGCAGGGCAGCGCCAGCCCTCAGTGCCGCCTGGAGCACGCTGTGTTCCTTACTCTACCCCCCGGCCAGCCCTTCAGTGTCTCCTAGAGCATGACGTGCAGCGCTCTGGTGGTGATTTAAAGAGCCTGGGGCTCTGGTTTCTGGGAGCCCCGAGCCCCTTTGAATCGCTGGGCCCCAGTGAAATTGCCTTCTTTGTCCCATCCTTTGCCCTCGCCCCCCCCCATTGGTGGGCCTGGCTACGTCATGATGATGCATTTCCTGGAGCAAGCCAAAAGCAGAGATACCAGAAATGGTGAATGGAACTGTCAGGAAAACAGATGTAAATATTGTTAGTGATTGAAGTTACTTTTGGATCTTACATCTCATTTGTATATAGGTGAGATGATATAATGAACCCCCCTTATACATTCTGCTTGCCCACATTTTTATGAAAGTAGCATATTCACTTTTAAGTAACCAGTAAAAATGTAGTGTTACCTATCACACTCTCTTCTACTTTGTTCTTAGTCGCTGGCACTCTTGGGCCATCTTGTAGAAGAAAGGTCTAGAATAAGTTAATAATTTTTGATGTTTGGTTAAATGTACTAGCAGTCTTGCCAGTGTCAACTAAATCAATTGTGATATTTATAGCATTAACGCCATTTCCAATACAATCACATCCCCTGAATCAATACACTTACAGTTGGCAAATGGCAATATTTTGCTAAAAATATGTAAGCTTCATCAAGCCTATTAGACTCTAGTGTAAGAAATATGAAATTATATTTTCCTCCTTGCACATCAGGGTGTTCTCAATACTTTTATGTTGTGATTTGGAAATCTAGAAATCTCTGGTGAGACATTGCCATGAAATGTGTGACTGATTTTAAAAAAAGTGGGGGGAGGGAAATACGCAGAAAATAAATACATTGAATTTATTTTTTCAGAATTTTCCATGAGGTCTGGCCTGTGGGTCTATCACCATAAGTTACTTTTGTTTGTGAAATAAACTTATAAGTGTCTCATTGAAAGTTAATGGCATTTTACTTTGGAAGCGGATTGGTTCATGGTATGAAGTAATGGACTAAGAGTAAAAGGACGTGAGTTCTAGCCCTTATCTGCCATTTGAGACCTTGTGTAAACCATATCATTTTCTCTATATTTAAGTAGTTTCTCTCACCAGCTGTTTAAATATTTCAGCTCTCTACAGAGGGAAGCATTCTGTAAATCAGTGTCCTTATTTTTTATTAGTAAAAATACATGTTGTTAATTTTTTTGGTCAGCACGTACATTTTCTCTAATCAAATAACCAAACATAATCAAAATTAAATATTCTTTGTGTCCTTTTTTCATAGCTGAAAACCTGTGTTAATCATGGAGCCATATTTTGCTGGTTTCAAGCATGTGCAACGGGACTATGGAGTTCATCTCAAGATTGCAAATGATGAGAGACACACAGCTAGAAATACACAAAACTCCAAGCCTGGATCTTATGGTGTCAGTATTAGGGTCCAGGGAATTGATGGGCATCCCTACATAGTACTAAACAATACAGAGGGCTGTTTGTCAGAAAATCCATTGTTATCTGAAAATGGGCCACAATTGACATCTCAGACAATTAACAAATCAGCTCCTAAATTGGGGGAGAAAAGTAGTGAAGAAATAAAGTTTCCTGGAACACAGTCCACAGAGCCCTCTATGTATAAAAACCTAAAGCAAACCAATATGAATGAAGGAGAGACTAGAGTCTCAGATTCTAAAGTTGGACCATTAAAACCATCTAATCTGTTGAACTTTCAAAGGCATCCTGAGCTTTTACAGCCTTATGATCCTGAAAAAAATAACTTGAAGTTGGATAGCTACCAATCTTCTGTGTGCAATAAGCCTAAATCTCTTACAGATGAAGGCAAGATTGAAACAAAGGCTTGGACTTCTTCATCTAAAGTAGTGACCCTACAGAAAAAGCCACAGCTTCTGGAGTCAGCTAAATCAAATGTGAAAACAATTCATTTGAACAGGTCCATAGCAATGGAAGACCAAAATAAGCATGTGTCCGAGTGCCACAGTGTTACTAGCAGCCCAAATGAAGGGCATGTATTGGAGTCACTTTCATGTAGTGATGAATCCCCATATGTTAGCCCAACAGGCCATCCAGAAATAAGGAAAACTAGACCAGATGTTCTTCCTTTTGGCAGACAAGATTCAGCTGGACCAGTATTTGATGGGTCACGAAGATCATCATCTTCATCAACCACTCCAACTTCTGCAAATTCCTTGTATAAGTTTTTACTGGATGACCAAGAGTATGCTATTTATGCTGACAATGTTAATCGACATGAAAACAGAAGGTATATCCCATTTTTGCCTGGAACAGGCCGTGATATTGACACTGGGTCTATTCCTGCAGTTGATCAACTAATTGAAAAGTTTGATAGGAAAATTGGGCCACAGAGAAGAGGTAGATCAGGAAAAAGGAATAGAATTCACCCGGATGATCGTAAAAGATCAAGAAGTGTTGACAGTGTACTATCTTTTGGCCTAGAGGAGAATTCAGATTACTTAGAAGAGTTGAGCAACAATTTGGGTAAATCATCAGAGTACTTGCTAAGGCCCTCAAAAATTTGCTTTCAGAAACAATTATCTCTTGAACAAAAGTTACCTTCCACAGATACACAAGTTACTGCTCGAACTATTGGTAAATTGCTATCAACGGCTCCAGTTGTTCAAAACAGCCATTACAAATCATTGCAACATCATAAAGAAAATAAAGTTAATGGAGAGAGTTTGATGTGTAGATCATCCACGCTTCCAGTACAGAATAAAAAAGAAGACCTTAAGATAGTAACTTCTACTCTCTTGTTGCCAAACCGAATTACAATTCCACCTGACCCAGGAACAAAGAAAATTTTAGTAAAAACATTTTCTTCTTCCCCAAATACACAGGTAACTTTCAATCTGAAACATATTGTCTTTTAAGTTCCCTGCACTGTGTAAGTTAAAGCTGTCTGATTTATAGTGTGTAAGATGCACATTTCTTATGGGTCAAATCCTGCAGTTTAACATTAGACCAAACTCCCATGGTGTATAGTGGAAGTTTGATCTCAGGAAGGACTGCAGGATGTGTTTCAGTAACAGTAAATGTAAACAGTTATTCTCTGGGTGAGGCAGCAGAAAGCCAAACTTGGGATGTGGGAGAAGGGTGGGGATTAGGAGTGTTATTGTAAAATAATGTATTATTAATGCCTAAAACATACTCACTGCAGCAAATAACATAAAAAAAGGTCTCAATGTGCATATTTTTAAACAGGGTATATCTCCTGTCTGCTGAATGGTAGTACGCTTGTTTCTTTCAATGGCCCCAGCTATACACTTGGTAATTTTAGGATTATAGTAAGATTAGTGACATTATTTATTTAGAATAAGAACATGTGCAATGTTATCTTTCACCTATAGGGATTGATCTGAAACCTGCTGAAGTTGATGGGGAAACTCCCATTGACTTCAGTGAGCATTGACCCATCTCCTCAATGAACTTCTTCTCTGGTAATAAAATTGCAACAGTAGAACCTCATAGTTACAAACTGAGAAGTCAGCTACATACATCATTTGGAACCAGAAGTATGTAATCAGCACCAGTGCCCCAAAACAAGCAACTCTCCTTCCCCCAAATATTGTATAGTATGTTAGATGTAAACTACTAAAATATGAAGGAAAAGGTTTCTTGTTTGTTTGTTTTTTAAAGTTTTGATAAGGCATGTAAGCTATTTCTCTGCTTGTTCATTTAAATGAAGATGATTAAAAGAAGCATTTTTATTCTGATTAGTAAAGTTTCAAAGCTGTATTAAATCCATTGTTCAGTTGTCAACTTTTGGAAGAACAGTAACATTTTGTTCAGAGTTATGAACCTCTATTCCTGGGGTGCTCATAACTCTGAGGTTCTACTCTATAGACAATGGAGAATTTCAAAGCAGAAGCAAAAGCAGGAAGCAAATTCTTGAAAGAGTCTGTATTTTGATATCCAGTCTTGTGTTTTAGGCAACTCCTGATCTGTTAAAGGGCCAGCAAGACATTGCACAACAGACAAATGAGGAGACAGCTAAGCAGATCCTTTACAATTACCTAAAGGAAGGGTTAGTAAACATCATTAACTTGTATAGCAGAAGTTTGGAGATTGAATAAGCTTGAGGATTTTTATTTAATTTTTTGGGGAAATATTATGTGGTCATTTGAAGTATTTAGCAGAGTTTTTGGTAGATGTGATATCCCAGAATGTGCATGTTACAAAAATTGGAACATAGCAGGCAGGACCTAAGCTGAATTGTGTTAAAGTTCAGGCAGCTTGTTCAATAATATGTGCAGAACCCCCATCATTATTATACCCCTTCAGCTCAGAACTGTAGTCAGAGCCAAGTAATTTCCCAGAAAATATTTGCAATTTGTTTTTTTAATGATTTATTCAAAGTCTTCATGGAATAGTAGTAGAAAATCTATTTGTAATTCCTCCAAATTGATTTTTTCATACTGTTTATGTAATTTGGATGCTTGAGGTATATTTCATCAGGTAAATCACTGCGTGGTTTACATACGTTGTGTCCATGTTTCAGAAGCACTGATAATGATGATGCTACAAAGAGGAAGGTCAACTTGGTTTTTGAGAAGATCCAGACGTTAAAGTCAAGAGCTGCTGGAAGTGCACAAGTAAATAATCAAATCACTTTTGTTTGTGTGTTTCATAACTATAAAATACTGGAGTACAGAACTGTGGATCATAGTCTAAATCTGTTTGCATGTTGTATAAAAGAAGACAAGGGTGTGCCTAATACACATAGGTTTCAGAGGGATAACCATGTTTGTTTCAGCAAAAACAACAAGGAATCCGGTGGCACTTTAAAGACTAACACATTTATTAGCGTATTAGGGCATAGCCCTTCGTGAGCTATAGCTCACTTCCTCAGATGCTGAAGGGAAAAGAAAACAGAAAAGGAAGGGTTACAGAGATGAGGAGTACAGTAACATAATTTGACAGTCTGCATATTCAAAAAAATAAATGTTGCTAAGTTATCAGTTGTGTTTTTTAAATTCTTAAAGAAATTTGAAAAAAGCTTTTATGCTACCATGTAATCGATCAGAGGACTGAAGGTGAAGTACCTTATCAATTTATTTTATTTCTGATTATAGGGAATCAGTCTGAAAATATAAAAGACAAATACTTATTAAAAGTATCTGTCCAAATTCTGCCCTCAGAACTACATACTCAGCTCCCATTGAGGTCTGTCAAAGGTGCACAAAGTAATCAGAGTGGAATTTGGCCTGAAGTAGTAGTGGTTTATTCCATTTCTGTTTATTGGGTTTTATTTTTTCAGAGCTACACAACACATGGTTCTTTTGAGATGTTTTCTATGCTACTGGCAATATGCCTTGAGCAAGCAGCAAGAAGTTGAATAAGAATTACATCCTAGTGTTTTTGAAAATACTAGGTTTTCTCAAGCCATATTAAAACCATCCCATGGTGACTTTTGTAATTCTGACTAAATATACACAACAGATTGTCACTCTGCTTTTTATTAGTTCTGTCTGTGGTTTAATTGAATTTTTAAAAAGGAAATCAGAAAATAATATCTTGGATGTTTAGGATTAAACCTCTCTGTTTAATTGTAGGTTTCTGATTCTTCATCCGAAGTCAAAGCATTGCTGGAACAAAAAAAAGAACTAGAGAGCAAGGTTGCAGAGCTACAGAAGGAGCTGGATCTAGAAATTAGGGTATTTATATTTTGTTGTTTGCATTATAAAGAAGAGACGTGCGGGTTGAATCCCCCTAATCTGCCACTCTCTGGTCCGGCAACATCCGTAGTCCGACATGATTTTAGTTACCAGAATGTTTGCTAATTGTGAGTGTGGTCACGTTTCCCATTGTCCAGTCATACATTATTAAGCAGTATTGCAAGCATTGTTCTGTTTATTCACCTTGGCAAAATAAAGAAACCCACTCATTACAATATTGACTTCCTGTGATTTGGCAAATTCTCTATTTTTTTCTAGCATAATCTAGTTATTTTCTGGACCCACCTGCTCATGAGGGTGCCGTTGTAGAGAGGTTCAACCTGTAGTATTACAAATGTGATGTTCTAAATAAGTGATAATCGTCTTGATAAAGCCAACATTTTCTCCTATGTACTGTATACTTTATGCTAAACATCTCAGTAAACATTCTGTCTCTAAATAATGATTGTAAATATATAATTCAGGGCTCTGATTTTTGGACCTTTTATGTGAAGAGATTATTTGATGGGGTTATGAGTGGAAAACGTAGAAGATTCTGTGGGTTTCTCATATTTCCTACATTCAAAAAGAAATAATTGTTTATGTATCCATAAATATATGTTAAATCATACTAATGTTCTCATACTAGTGGGTGGAATTTGCGTACATCCTTAATATATATATAAAACAAGTGAGATCATTTTGCATCATATGGTTACACTTTTGCATTTATGGGAGATTCTTCTTTTTTAAGCATGTGCTTTTCTAAAAATAATCTCACCCCATTGTTTGCTTCACATAGCCCTTTGGGATGCCATGATAGAGAATTACATAGGTGAAACTTTGTTAAATAGCTGCAAAAGTAGAGCTTAAAAATCTTTAATTATGGTGAGACATATTTTGAGTAGGAGAAATATTGTTACAGTTCATGTAGTTGCTGATAAAACAGGTATAGCATTAATTTTCAATCTGGAACTCAAAATGATTGCGTGCTAAAAAGCACTTGAAGAGGCTCTGGAGGCAATCTAGTTGTATTAGACTGTGTAGTGTGTTTGAAAACTGTGATAGCGATCAGTGTAGTAAAGACTGGCTAATACTGAGAACGTTTCCTTTTCATATTTCTAATACAAGTCCATAAACCAAGCTTATTTTCTCCAGTACAGGTCCTGTTATGAGCGTTCATAGTCTAAGAAATATAATACTGTAATTGAGAGAGAATTAAATATTGAGTAAATCTTTTCCTACCTTTTTAAAAACAAGGCCTTTGGTTTTTGTTGTTAGCATGGTACCTCAGCTTTTTTATACTTTCAATGTGTACAATTTAGAATCAGCAAAATGCCAAAGGAGAGAGAGACACTACAAGAGCAACTCTGAAAGATCTACAACAGCAACTTGACAAAAGTGTGAAAGAAAAAGATGCCTTAAAAAAGCATCTAGGAGAAAGTGAGAAGGAACTCAGGCAAAACTTAGAGGAGTGAGTTTCTTGTACAAAATCTATTTGTGGAGTTTATTCCTATTAAATACTACAGATTAAATGTATCTGTCACTCCCTTTCCCCACTAAGTTGATTCTTAAAAGACACTAATCTACTACAATAGTAAGTAGTGCTACTTTTAATATCACCTGAAGTGTTAAAACCTCTACTTTAAAACTGGCCAGCTAGGAGTATTTGAGGTAAAACTAAAATTTTGTAATTTGAATGTTTTTTGTCCTAATGTGGGTAGATTTTTATAGTGCATTGTCATCCAGTACAGGCGGGTACTTTTAGACCATTGTGTAAATAAATATGAGCATATTTGCTGCATAAGAGAATATCCATTTTTACCATTTGAATGAAGATAGTCTCCTCTGTGAGGGTGTTGATGCCCAATATCCCCTCCCCAGCTTCCACTGTTACTGCCTCATTTGATCCTATCCCATGGTGGGAGAGCAGGAACAATTCCTCAGAGGCTTATTGTACTTGGAAAACAATTTAACACTGCTATAATCCTAAACATTTCTTTTTCCCCCTTGATGAGACTTTTTCAAGTGAAGATGGAGCGGGAACAACACCAGACTGAAATCAGGGACCTGCAAGACCAGCTATCTGAAATGCACGATGAACTGGATAATGCAAAGCATGCTGTGGATGGGGAGAAAGAGGTCCTGATTGAGGTTAGTAAGAAAAGCTCAAGAATAGTGTGCATGAGAATATCCTGAACAGCTGTATCTGTGTCCCATTGAATTGGAGTTGTGGAGACAAGACCGCGTCTAATGTTAAAGATTGCCAGCTAGTAGATACTGGCTTCCTTTTTATGTAGAGATCCCTGGGATGAGATATGAACGGTTTTGGTGTTTATCTTTCAACTTGTGGTCAGTGCTCTCTTTGTTGGACATGAAAGTACACTATTGAGACAGGGCACACTAAGAAAACATAGTGACTTTCATGTAAAGTATTTTGTTGCAATTTTAAAAATCCTCCCAACAAATCTGCCAGAGTTCTCAATGGAAAAGACTCCAATGAGCAGAGAATGGCTTGAGTAAAACTTCTGGGAGCCAAAGATATCTTGGTTTGACCAATTTGAAAAACACACATGCAGTATGTGGTATAACGCATACACAAGAGCCGTCCTTCAGGCCAATTGTGTCCTTCATCATGGCTTATATTTTCTGCAGATTTTAGCATTTAGTTTTACTCCGATAGAAAAGAAAACAAAGAAATGTATAATCTGGGCTATCCTACCTCAGCCCTGTAGGGAATGAACATTTTACAAATATGAATGAAGCCTCCTATCACACCTGCAATGCAGGTAAGCCTTATCCCAGTTTTACAGAGTAGAACAACGAGGGCCACAGAATGGAATAAAAATGTGCTGAGTGTTCGACTCCTCCAAAGTGACAGTGAGTCTGGAGCTGATCCAGGGATAAAGTTCTGTCAATTAGAGCTTATTTCTTCTCATTCAAGACTCTGAAGAAAAGCTGACCACAGCAAGAGCAAGTATGAAGCACATATGTACACCATTGCTTAACTGTCCATGTAGAGCAATACATGAAAATGTTACTACAGAGGCGGCAATAACAAAAATATTTAAGAACAGAATCATGCAGCACGAGTAGAAAAAAAGATCAGGAGAGCAGTACCCATCCATCAACAAAAATCTAGATTTACTCTGCTCTAGGTGAGCAATAGCAAGGCCTGTGAGAGAAGGAGGAGAGCCAGTTGAGATGACAGAAAAGTTATAAAATATCTTGTACTATAACCAAAGATACTATAATTATATAGAAACTGATTAGGTGCTTCCCAATTTCTAGTTACTAATACCAGCTACAGAAGAGATGAGTTAATTTGGGGGTTTCTAAATATCTTTTAGGAACTGATGCAAATGAAGCAGGATCTGCAAGAAATATTCATGGCAAAAGAACAGCAAGAAGAAATACTGAGAAAAAGAGAAAGGGAACTTACTGCTTTAAAAGGAGCACTGAAAGAGGAAGTATCTAACCATGACCTGGAGATAGATAAACTTAAAGAACAATATGACAAAGAACTTTCCAATGTAAGAGAGGCTCTAGAGGAAGCAACGAAGGTGAGCTTAATGGTGAAAAATGCAGCTGTGAGAGAAAAAGTGAAACTGTGCCATGCTTTTTTGATAATATGCTTTCCAATCCTGCTGTGATCTCAGCACAATCAGTACCCAAAGTTTTGAGTTGGTGTATATCAGTGTAACTTCACTAATTTCAGTAGAGCTATGCTGATTTACAATAGATGAAATGGTGACCCAAGAGTCAAATAATTATTTACCTCTTGATTCATTTTGCTTTTCTGTAGACTGTGAAAGAGAGTGTATGACAGAATGGTGTTATCGACCCAAGAGCATGACTGAAATATTGGCGGTTGCCTTTAGATTGTCAAGGGTTTCTTACTCACCAATGATGATAATAAGGTGGTCTTTCTGGGTTGGACCTGAAGCCTTTTTAAGAAGTGTGAATGTGGGGCTGTTCTCCATCGTGATCCTTCCAGAAACTTCTCAAGAGAAAGCAACTGGGAATTCTTTGTACATTTTTTCTAAGTGTTTTCACAACATCTGAATTTTGTTCTTATGGCAGGAGGCTGGCAGGCTCAGATAGCTCCTTTCATTTTATGTCAATTGTGTCAATTAAGTTTGGGAGTTCTGAAATGAAACATCATTGACCTTTCCCAAAATGGTACACCCAACCATGCGCATAGTGTTGTGATCGTAGTAGACAGGAATCAGTTGTTTGGGAGAGTTGAGGGATTGCAAAATAGTTTTACAGGTCCAACCAAAAATGCTCAGGTTAACGCTGAATGACACACTTGATCTGCATACCTGTTGGCACTAGGTGACTTGTGGGTATCTTGATATTAATAGCCCAAAAAATATTGAAAAATGAAAGTTAAAATTAGGGGTTAGGAAGAAGGCTCTGCCACTTTGTCTAGTGTGAGGGAAAGAACTTTTATAGAAAATGATGTGAAAGACACTGTATATTATTTCTGATACAAATACAATTTATTTGAATAATTTAGATGTTTATACACATCAGTTTATTAGTAGAGGGCAGTACCTTTAGCTGAGTTTGTCTGAAAGACCAATTTTGTCATTTTCCTTTATCTGCATTTGCATGTTTATATTGTGATATGCTTCACAGTGAGCTACTTCAAGTACATTACTCCTTCTTTTTTTTTGAGAGGGAGAGAACTGGAACACTTTAAAATCATTTTTTTTATTATACAGTAATTGTTGTGACAGCTGAACCCCAATGAACCATCTTACAAAGGTATTCCATAGTAATTTACTGTATTTCAGTTACAGAGCTGTAATTGCAAATGACAGGAAATGAATGAATAGTCTGTTTGGTACAACAATAAAGCAGTCTGGGAAACATTTCTGTGACTGGGTTGCTGTGGCTAAGTGGTAGTTATAAATAGCCATTCTTTAATTGCATGGCAAAGACTCTGATGAGTTTAATCTGATATGTAAAAGTGAAACTTAATTCATTTTCATTGCTCTAAAGGCATCTCCTGTTCTTTTTACTTCCAGTGATTTTCTGTTTAAATAAAAGTTTGTCATAATGCATTTTTATTCCTCAAATGACTCTCAATCAAAAACCAGACACTGCAAAGACCTTTTGACTAAGATCAATTACATTTGACAGATCATCTTTTTTTTTTTTTTAAACTCGTCTTTCAAGGCAGAGTAGACTGTTGTAATGGGTTGTTTCCATCTTGACTACTATTATATTATATATGGTATAGTTTATTAGTCTCTCAACTCTGTGGTGGATACACAACCATCTAATATGAAAAGCATAGTTTGTATAAAAGAAGTTGTATTGACCTTTTTAAGAGTTGTTTGCATTATTTGAGCATGGAAAGATTTACATTGTATGACAGGACACAGGAAGTTTATATTAAAAGCTGCTGAAAAGAGTCATTCTACTGTATGTAATGAATCAAGCAGATGTGTAAATACTGTAGGAATATTTTACACACAGGTGGAATGAATACTGGTATCCTGTAAATGGAGCTATATAGGCTTCAGTGTGTACACAAGATAATTTGTTTCTATGTTGCACTTGTGGCCTTGCATTCACTGTACCAATTTGTCCTGGTCATAAAAGGAACTGTTTGCAGGGAAAACAATCCTTTATCAATAGAAATGTCTCCACTATTGGAGATGAAGTTTATAGGCTTATTTTACTATAGTAGCTTAGTGAAGAAGGTAGAGAATTTTTGGAGTTGAAAGAAGAAGCATGTAATTGTGCTGGCCAAGTTCCATCTCAGATACGACAATGTTGCTACTCTATTAAAAAGTCCCATGGAATCTGTAATGGTCACAAGCTGGCAGGTCAAGTATGTTTTACTTTTTCAAAGAAAAAACCTCCAGTGGGTTCCCTTTCTGTTGTTTTTAACTAGTAAGTCCCACCAGTGTGCTCCGTTCCATTGGAGGCATGGCAGAAGACGAGAACCCCCGTCCCAAAGAGTTTACAATCTTCCACAGAAAAGATAAAAAAGAGTCCTTTTTTGGGTCTCCTCTAACGAAATATTCTTTATAGTGTGAATTTTTGATACTGGATGTGTAATTTGTGAAATTATGGTATCAAAATTTTACACTTCTGGAGGGGGGGAATGTGATGCTGAGAATTGGGTTGAGAAATCAGTTGCATGTGGATTGACAAGCTGTAATGCCACAATTTTCACTTTCTTGAAAACTTGCTGTCCCTTAGAAGCGTCTCTAGTCTAAATAAGAAATAAGCAGGCATGTTCCTGCCTACTTTGTGAGATCACTGTTTCTAAGAAAGTTGAACAACACAATGCTTGATTTTAAAAAACAACTGCAGAGGTGTAGTCTTCAAGCCCTGCTTAACAATGCAAGTCACATTTTACAAAGTACCAAATAACATTTGATTCAGGCTGGAATTACATTGTTTCCAAATAATGGAAAAGAAATGCTACATATCTCCAGGTAACATTTGTTGAACTAAGACAAAAGTAATGGTTTTGCACCTTTGGGGGTCTTACTTGTTTTGTATGAAATTTAAATACCCCTGAAAACAAACAGCTTTTAAAATCAATATCTGTTGTAATTGATACACCCATATTAACTTTGCCTTTGAAGACTCTGTGCAAAATGTTTTTCTAAAAATTCTGCACCATTTTGAGTCTTTAAAGTGAAAAACCTATGACTGTTATTGAATTTTATAATTTCTAAAGTACATCACTATGAAACAAAGTTTTTGCACATGTAGCAAACTACTTAATGAACTTGGCAAGCCATTAGACAAAGTCTACTCAGTACAGCTTATAGGATCAGTCTTTCTATAAACACCCTGTAAAAGTACAGACAGTATAATCTTTTTTTGAGGCTCTTTCACGTACTGTATGTGTTTAAAAATTCAACCTATTCCTAGCTCACCAATCTTAATCTGTACCCCTACTTTGTCTTCCATTTTTATAGATACACTTGACCCTTTTTAATCCAGCAACTCAGGGAAACAAGGTTTTCTGGATTAAAGATTTTGCCAGGTCAGGGAGGTCATGAGGGGGTTGGGGATGGGGCACTTATCCAGTGGATGGCTGGTGGCTGGACTCCCTGTAGCTGGGCTGGCTGGCGCTCTGCATCTGGGCAGCCAGGCACAACATAATGGGACCAGGAACCCAGCATGCCACAGCAGGGCTGCCCAGCAGAACCAGGATCATAGTGGGGCTGCGTGGTGGAGCCAGGAGCTTGGCGCGCAGGGAGCTGGACTACAAATGGGATTCCTGGCATAGCAGGGAAGGAGTTGGGGAGACTGGCAGGGCTGTGAAGCTGGTGGCAAGCGGGAGTTGGCCAGGAGTCCAGCAGCTGGTCCATGGCTGGGGGAGCCTTGGTTTGGCAAAATCCCTCATCTGGGACTGGTCAGGTCCCAAGAGTGCTGGACCAGGGAGATCCAACCTCTAGTTGTGAAACTGAAGCACAACAGTTCCAGAGATATAGAGCAGTGGTTCTCAACCAGTGTATGCAAAGGGGGTACATCAACTCATCTAGACAGTTGCCTAGATGTACGTAAACAGAGTACATAAAAAGCTCTAGCAAAGTCAGTGCAAACTAAAATTTCATACAATGACTTGTTTATACTGCTCCATGTACAATACACTGAAATGGAAGTACGATATTTACATTCCAATTGATTTATTTTATAATTCTATGGTAAATATGACAAAGTAAGCAATTTTTCAGTAATAGTAGGCTGTGACACGTTCTAATTTAGTAAGGAAATAGCTTAAGTGAGGTGAAATTTGGGGTATGTAAGACGAATCAGACTCTTGAAAGAGGTACAGTAATCTGGAAATGTTAAGAGCTGCTGCCATAGAGAACCTTTAAAATGAAAGCGAGGGTCATAGCTGACGTGACCTGATGGTAGGAGGCTCTCTCATCAAAGATAATGAGTAACGTTTTCCATGTAGATCAGCAGCCATATGTTTTATAAGAGAGCTTAACTAAACTTAGTTTAAAACACTGTAAATGCTATTGAGCTAAGCTCAGGGTCAATGCGTGGGAGGGTACGAGGGGTCATATGCCCCCAAATACTATATCCAGGAGTGGCCAGCTAGCAGCCAGTGGGGTAATTAGTAGGGAGGGGCCTGGCACCCTCAGCAGGGGTTCAGCCTCCCATCTGCTAACTCTGGCAGCAGCGGGGGCCAAGTGCGCTCCTCTGGGGATGGGGGCAGTCATAGCTGGGAAGCGGAGCACTGCAGCTGGGGGAGCAAAGTGAGCAGATGGGGGCTGCCTTGCTCTGATTGCCCTGCTGCTGCTGGTGAGTGCAGGGGGGAGAGGAACCCCACTGCCGGTGCTGACCCCTACCCCACTCATCCCTTAGGTCACCTTGATTGGGGGAAGAGACAGGCAGGGGAGAAGCAGGGGCAGGGAGAGGCGGTTTCTGTGGTTGTACTCTCTTGATTTGTATTTGGGTTTAGGGAGTGGGCCTTTAATGGATGTATTGCAGCTGTGATAATGTGTGGCCCTAATTCCATGTCTAAAATTATATTAACCTTGAGGGACAAGACGCATAGAG